TGATGCTGCTTGGCCTGCTGTGTTCATCCAGCTCTACACCCTGTTATCTCAGATTCTCCAGCATCTGCAGTTCCTACTATCTTTGAATGGATTCGCAGTTGTCATTAGACTCTTAATTCCAGATATTTTATGCTGGCCTTGGAGAGGGTCCAGAGGAGTTCACAAGAATGATCCTGGGAATGAAGGGCTTATCATTTGAGGAGTGGTTGAAGAGTCTATACTTGATGGAGTTTATAGGGAAACTTACATTGAAACTTACAGAATAGGATGTGGTGATGATGTTTCCACTAGTAGGAGAGACTAGGATCCGAGGGCACAGTTTCAGAATAAAGGAACAACCCTTTAGAACTGACATGAGGAGGAATTTCTTCAGCCAGAGAGTGGTTAATCTATGGAATTCATTGCTGCAGAGGGCTATGGAGGCCAAGTCATTGCATGTCTTTAAGACAGAGATACATAGGCTTTTGATTAGTAAGGGGATCAAAGGGTACAGGGAGAAGGTAGGAGAATAGGGTTGAGAAACAATCAGATCTGATCAGATGGCAGAGCAGACTCAAATGGCCTAATTCTGCTCCTATATCTTATGGTCTTATGAAATATCTTTTAAATGGCAACTTTAGAGTGTTTACCAGTTTTGTTTTCCATATGTCATACATTTAAACAATTCAACTCCCAAAAGTAAAAGTTATATTTAAAACATATGAAACAAAACATTACATATTTGCAATATTTATTAATTTCTTTCAGCAAGTAAGTACAAATTATCTCAGGACAGGCTGCAGAATAAATTAACTGAAAATTATCATAAATGTATACAGTGTGGAAACAGGCCATTGAGCCCATCGAGTGTACAGCAACCCTCTGAACAGCATCCCACACAGGCCCACCTCCTTACCCATCCCTGTAACCCCACATTTACGATGGCTAATCCACCTAACCTACACATCCATGGACGCTACGGGCAATTTAGCATGGTTAATTCACCTAACTTGCACATCTTTGGACTGTGGGATGAAATTAGAACAGCTGAAGGAAACCCACGCAAACAATTGTCCAAGGGTAGCATCAAACCTGGGTCTTTGGCACTGAGGCAGCAGTGCTAACCTTTGTTTTAGAAATTCAAGTTTTCCACAACTCTTACTCTTATATTTCCATAAAAAAAAGTTTTACTGAACTGTCTTTTACATTAATATCCTTGTATAACTTAGTTTCTGACCAATTAACTTGCTAGCACTTTCGTAATTGCTACCAAATTCACATTAGTTATTCCTGGATTTACTGGGTTTGGGTGGTGTGCAATCATTCTCCATTAAAGATGCTGAGTTCTTATGAGGTGTTGGTAAGATTAAGTTGGAAGCATTACAACATGCTTCTTCTACACAGATTTACTTTTCCATTTTTGCAATAGTTACTGATGGTTGCCATGACTTAGTTCAAGTTGTCTTCAATCATGATGCATCGCTATCTCTTAAAGAAAGACAGAAACATCTGCTCAATTTAGTGGCCTGGAGCATGTTCGAGCAAGCTCATTTCCAAATGTGCCTGGAAAAGTTGGAGTGAAATAGATGCACTGGGAACATCTGTTCTTCTGCAGCCTCCCAACATTCAGCTAATTGCCCAATAGCATAGTCAAAAATAACACATGACATCTCTAAAATCCTGATAAGGAGATCAGCAGAATAACATAAATAACAATAACAACATGAGAAAAGCACCCTGTAGTTTTTAAACATATATTCACCTTACCATTACAATCAAATGTTATATTATGACAAAGAAATTTCTTGATAAAATTCATAACCGTGTCTTTAGGAAGATATAGCTGAGATGCCACTCCACAAATTCAGCAATCTGACAAATGCTGCTTACCATTGATAGATACTGATTCATTATGATGAGCAGAATGAGCTTCTCCTTTCTTATGAAACTCCTATCTCAACATACAACCTGATACAAGTCTGCTAGATTTTGCATTGCCATTCCATCTATGAAGCAAGCTCAATTGATTTATAAGTAGAATAAGTTCAAGTGACTGCACCCGTAGACTCAAAAAGAACCTCTCTTGTAGCTGAGATATAGTTGAAGACAGTGCTTTTTTAATCACATGTCGGATGTGGGCATTGCTGGCTGGTGAGCATTTATTACCTGTCCCTAATTGCCCTTGATTAAGTGGTGGTGAGTTGCGTTCTCAAACTGCTGCAGTCTATGTGCTGTAGGCAGACCCACAATGCTGTCAGGTAGGGAATTCTGGGATATTGACCCAGCAACAGTGAAGGAGTGGCAATATATTTCCAAGTTAGGATGGCAAGTGGCTTGGTGGTGTTCACATGTATCTTCTGCACTTGTCCTTCTAGATGGAGTGGTTGTGGGTTTGGAAGTTGCTGTCAAAGGATCGTGGGTGAATTTCTGAAGTGCATCTTGTAGGTAGTACACACTGCTGCTACTGAGTGTCAGTAGTAGAGGGATTGAATGTTTATGGATGCGTTGTCCATCAAGCAGGCTGCTTTGTCCTGGATAGTGTCAAGTTTCTTGAATGTCATTGGAGCTGTATTTATCCAGGCAATGGGGAGTATTTCATCACACTTGAGTTGTGCCTTGTAAATGGTGGACAGTCTTCGGGGAGTCAGGTGGTGATTTACTTACTGCAGTATTCCTAACCTCTGACTTACTCTTGTAGCCACTGTATTTATATAGGGGAAGGATTTAGAAAAGGACCTGAGGGGTATGTTTTTCGCACTGAGGGTGGTGCATGCATGGAACAAGCTGCCAGAAGTGGTGGAGGCAGGTATAATAACAACATTTAAAAGGTATCTGGATGGATATACGAATAGGAAGGTTTTAGAAGGATATGAGCCAAATGCTGGCAAATGGGACTAGGTCAGATTGGGATGTCTGATTGATGTGGACGAGTTGAACCAAAGGGTCCGTTTCCGTATTGTATGACTCTATACGGTGAGTCCAGTTGAGTTTCTGATCAGTAGTGACCCCCAGGATATTGATAATGGGATTTCAGTGATAGTAATGCCATTGAATATCAAGGGGTGATAATTAGATTCTCTCCTGTTGAAAGTGCCTAGCATTTGTGTGGCACGAATGTTATTTGCCACTTTCAGCACAAGCCTGGATATTGGTCAGGTCTTGCTGCATTTAACAGGTGTTGATTTCACACTTTTCTACCAAGAAGATCTTCCAGACTTCTAACATTTAGCTAACATGTATAATGTCTCTCCAAGCCCTGATACATTTGACATTGTCTGTTTATTTCCTATGTAATTTTAATAACATCAAAAGCTTTTTGTTATTAAAAACTTTGTCAGTATTTGAAGAATTGCTAAATCCAAAAATGATGTACAGCCAGCTATAGACATTAGTGCTGCTACTTCCACAGCACTTAAAAAGGAGGTGGGCCTCTTAATGCTCATGACAAAGGCACATTTAATAGTGCAGAACAATTTACCTGGGTAAGACTTCGAAATCTGCTCAAATTTGTATCTAAGAAATCTAGCAAATGCTAAATTCTGGTATATTCTGAAAAATTGCCTTTTGGTACATATAAAGTATATGAAAATAAAGTGAACTATGGATTAAAAAATAATCAATTCAGAGTTTCTAAGTAGGTTCATATTTATCCTTAATTCCAGAAAACCCACGTTCTTTGATGCATCTGTGTAGGCTGAAGATCCGAAAATGCATGGGCCGGATGAGGCTGAGGTGTCCGGTATTTATGACATTTCTGACTTTGCCCAGTTGCCTTAAAGAATACATTCTCTTTAAAGAATATGGTCTTTATAATGAAAAAGGAACCCGATAGGTTGCTGATAATTCAATTTCGTATTTTCAAGATAACTTCAAAAGCATATTGATAGATTGACAGATATGTTTTGTGAGAAATTTAAAAATATAGTGAAGGTTATTATTTCACTTCAATGATTAAGTTAAATATATTACTAAATATTTAATCTACATTATGATTTATTATTTAGGTTTGAATATAATTTAAATTAAAATAAATGAAATGGATCTGTTGCTTCAATGTGCTGATTATCACTGGCATGTGAGAAGATGTTTAAAATGAAAACAGTAAAGGGAAGAATGAGAATAAACTGAAGCTCAGTATCAAATTCATCATTTAAAGTTCATGAAATGAGTGGCTTATTTGGCTTGTTAAAAACATTGGTTCTATTTTTGGGTACTTGTGAAATTCTGAAATATGTACTAAGGCATAATGGTTTTTAACAATTATTTAATAATATGTATAAATAAATGAAATAAGCTGTAGTTGCCAGTATTTAACTTTGTTTCAATTACTCATTGAACATTAAGTTTGAAAATATGTGTTCAAGCCAAAGTAGAAGCCAAAACAATGTCATTAGTCAAAATATATTGGCATGGGAGAATTAAAACAGTTTGAATATATTTAAACAAGTAAACACATCTTTATGTATTACATCACAGTAATAAAAACATTGTATCTAATGCACCAAACGTTTTTAGACACAGTACCTTTTTGATATCAATGGTCAACTTCTTTAACCCAAGAATAAGTTGTAGTAAGCTGCATCTTCAATTTAACAACGTAAAAATGTCACAGAGCAAAAAACAGGGATGAAATTTGTGTTCAGTTGAACCAAGTGACTGAACAATTTATCCTGTCCCCTCTTACTGACCATGAACTTTACTTAATCTATTCACAATATTCAAACTGTAGTAAGCCAACTATTACTCAACGTTGACCTACCCTGTATGGATATTTTAAAAAACTGTAGTTTGCAAACTGATGTCAAATATTTGATCATTTCAGCTTAGTACAGCTCGAATAAACAGTCTGCATTCAATGATACAATGTTTTTGTGCTGCACATCCATGTGATACCAAGTATATTTAAGCATTGGGTATATTGATTCAATTCAAAAGCACCTGACAAGGGAGGAACAATTTAAATATTGGAAATTTCAGTGCACAAAGAAAATCAAACACAGGTTGGAAGGAAGATTTTTAAAGATATAATCAATTAGCTATTGATTATTTTCTTCTGGTAAAACCTGTACAGTTGGCTCATTCTCTCAAGAGTTGGGCTATAGAGTAGAAACGGCTTCACTTGGCATTAGCTCTATAAACTTTGCAGATCTGTTTTGGCTTTGCACCAACAAGAGTTGGACAGTGTTATATTTGGTACCAAGGCCCAAACTGAATAATGAAGCAGAGGCAGGTAATTGCTTCCTTGGCCAGTCACTTGATTCAAACTGCCTTTACACCAATAGTTATTTTCTGCTTCTAGCCATAGTTATAGTGCGAAAACAGCCTTAGATGTTAATTAAATGCATTGATATTATTAACAGGTCAGCTCATAAAGCTATTTTGGATTAATCAACAGTAAAAATGTCTCTCAAAATGCCTTTGCAGTTCAATTTAACTTAATATCAATATTAGTTTGGGGGTAAGATGAGTTTGATAGTTCATTATGAAATTCCCTAGAGCAATTGCTGTCTCGAGGTTCTAATCTGACTATGCCTGTATTTGTTCCACTATGACATGAATTTCACAGATCACAGGGAAAATGGAAAATGGAAAATGTTATAAATAACAAAACCTGAACATTTAAATAAAACACAACAATTACTACCTGCCCACTGCCTTCTCTCCCCAAAAATCTTAGTTTCATTTGGTAGGGATGGGAAACAGGAGAACCATCCTTAACAAAACTCAAGGTGGGGCTGGATCTTTGGAAAGTAGCTATTTAACTTTTGGAAACATGAGAAAATATTGAAAATTTTACATCATGATGTCACGCTCATCTCCTATTGACACAAGGTTGCAGGTAAGGAGCTGATACATGAAGTATGAAAAATAGATGAAGGCAGAGTGTGGAAAAGTGAATGTCGTGTAAATATGATTGAAGTGTCTATTTTTGCATTTGTATGACTGAAACTTTCCATTGCAAGTTCTTTAAACTTTCTTTGAAGCTTTATTTTCACCAATACAGATTGAGAAATTTGCCGATTTAAATCCAAATAAAAAATTGCATATATATTGTGCCTTTGACATTGAAAAATGTCCCCAGGCACTTCACAGTAACGTTGTAGTCCAAATTTGACACTGAACCATTGAAGATTATACAATAAGGACAGAGACCAAAAGCATGGTTAGAAAGCTGTTCAATAAACAGTAAACAAAGAGCGGAGATACACTGTTCAGCCCCTTAAACTGGCTCCACCATTAAATAAGATCATGGCTGATCAGACTGAAACCTCAATTCCACATTCCCACGTCTATCCTGCTTTCACTTCTCTGTTTACCAATAATCTATCCACTCTCAACATCTTTAAGGCAATCTCTGCTTCAACTGCTTTTTCAGGAAGAAAGTTCCAAAGACTCATGAGCCTCAGAAAAAAAAAAATCACCTCAGCTCTATTTTAAATAAGCAAGCCCTCATTTTTAACAGCTATAGGCAAGCATTGAGAGTTAGAGAGATGAGGAGATTTAGGGATGCAATTTCAGAGCTGCTGGCAGCAAGCTGAATGCACATGCTGGGGACTACCATTGAGCTGAAACTGAACTGGACTAGCCATATACATACTGTGGCTACACAAGCAGCTCAGGGGCTTGGAATACTATAGTGAGTAACTTATCTCCTAACTCCTCAAAGCCTGTCCACCATACACAAGGCTTAAGAAAGGAGCATGATAGAATATTCCTCACTTCCCTCGATGAGTGCAGCTCCAATAACGCTGAAGAAATTTGACACCATCCAGGACAAAGCAGCTCGCTTGACTGGCACCATGTCCACAAACATCCAATCCCCCCACCACTGACACTCAGTAGCAGCAGTGTGTACAACTTACAAGATGCACTGCAGATATTCACCAAAGATCCTTAAGACAGCACCTTCCAAACCCATGACCACTACCATTTAGAAGGATAACGGCAGCATAGGAACACCGCCACACTTACAAGGTCCTCTCTAAGCCACTCACCATCTTAGCTTGGAAATATATCGCTGTTTCTTGAACGGTCCTGGTAAAAGTTCTGGGATATCATAAGTAGACCTGGAGTCTCCCAATGTTCTAGAATGTACTGCAAGTTGCATGCTGTGAATATCTATACTGCAAATGATTCATTACTTGTAAGATGGAAGACAGTTGAAGTCACATTTCTACCTAGATATATGGGTAATATGGTTTGCATTGCAATGCGTAAAAGGATACAGGAAGCCATTTTGAGATCATTTAAAGACTTAATATAATGGTTGGTTAAATTACAAGTTGTCTGCAAAAAGAAAACAATGTTTAGCCAAGTGTTATTTCAGTCAGTCATTCATTAAAATAAAAGTTTTAAAACATGAAATTTTGTCAAGTCATCTTTCAGCTAATAACTTTAAAAAGAAATCAAACTTCCAGTTAGCAGTATCAATGAGAATCCTAGCAGAAGTAACATTCCTGCCATACAGTGCCTTGCATTGATCAAGCTCAACAAAGGAAATTCCCTTCAACTTCATTACCACTACATCAACATCCTGAAGACTCGCATTGATCATAAACAGCACAGGCACAACAGGATGAAGGGTAGCCTTCTGTGTAGTAAGATTCTATGATTGTCAGAAGTAAATAAAATTTCAATAAAATTTTAAACAGGCTTCACCAGCCTAATCAGCTAGCTGGGTGAACACAAAGTTTTCCAATACATTATCTAAAGAGGAATGAGGTACTGTCTGAGTGTGCATTTTTCCCTCCAAAAGATTACGTCTATGCATAAAATGTCTAGTGTTTGCCGATATTGAACTGTTGCATAAATCTGTAGAAAACATTTATATGTTGCTACAGAAAAGACTTTTGTTCAGAAAATTAATGTTCGCAGTAATAAGAAAGGTAACCATACAAACAGAGTAATTGATTTGCCTCAGAGGTATTGTTTGACATCCTTTTATTTGCTAATTCCATAAATCATTTTGGCATAGGCACAAATGTAATGATATCAAATATCTGCTGACACTGTAAGGATGCATGTGACAGACTGCATGGTGACACACACAAGTTAGTGAAGAACGCAAACGGGTGGCAGGTATAACTTGATGCTGAGAAATTGGATATTGTACATTTTGGGAATAATGGTAGTGAAAGTATATTCTAATTAAAAAAAACTGACAGCAGAGTAGGGAAAGACATTTAGCGCCACGGCTACGTCGATATTTTAAATGCTGGATGCACTAGTAGAATAGGTCATAAAGGGTAACTGGGGTTCTGGGTTTTGTGTGTGAAACCAAATAGATTAAACACAGGACTTTGGGCTGCAAATAAAAAATGGAAATAAAACAACAAACAGGATTTAAGATCTCACAGGCTCTCCTGTGTCATTTGGGCTCAACATTAGTAAATTACCAATAATCATATTTCAGTGTGAACAAACTAATCTCACAAATCCTGCCATCACCAGCTATCCAAACATACTTTCCAGCAGGCCTTGCTGATCAGAAATCAAAGCAGATATACTAACTTCCTCTTTTCTACCTAAAATATGAGTTTGCTTGCAAATAATTTTGCTGTTGGCTCTGTGAAATCAGCTAATTCAGCAAACATCAATTAGCAGCTGAGCCTTTATAGTCTGTTTGATTCAGCCACTTATTGGATAAAATTAATATGCTACTGGAAGAAAGACCTTGGTTTGCAAAGTCATTTTCCAAATCCCCAACAATAAATGGCAGCTACTCTTAAAAGAAGAAGTCACACAAAACTCCACTCAGGTATACTATCAAATTTTGCCATGTGAAGAATTAGTAGTACAAAATATGGACCTTTAGAAAACACTATTGCATAAATAAATACACATTATTGGAAGTCTTGAACTTGTGATACTTCTTCCTGGGCCATTTGCTAATATAAACTATTGAATTGAATTAGCTTTATTATCACATGTACTAGAATCAGAAGTTTAGAATAATCCATAGGCCTGGTTTTAATGCATTTGATTTCTTTCAGTGTTTAGCCAAATATTTAAGTTCAGAATTTGCAGCCCTTGTGGACATAGCCTCCTAATTACGTGACTTTAATTTGCCAAGCCAAAGCAAATCAATTTGAAAATAGGTCATTTTGACAATTTGTAGGTTTTACAGATTATTTTACTGGGTAATGTTACAGTTTCTAGGTCATTTTACTTTCTATGTGCTCTAATGCTCAAAGTGCAAGTAGTTTGTGCTTACAGTGCGAGTTGTCCCCTTCAAGATGAATAGCTGGCCTATATCTATATATTGTAAATGAAGTAATTCTGCTTCTTTGGCGCAAATTGATAAAATAAGTATAACCTTAAGCTAACTCTCCACATTTAAGTAAATGAAGAATAGGAAAATCACAATCACAACCCCAGTATGTCATTCAATGAGAAGAGTTATTTTACATTTATATATAATTCATTTGGAAATGACGAAATAAAACATTCTGACAGTAAGGGATATGCATTTGGTAGCATGAAAATGTTGCAAACAACCTGAAATATAACCATATTACTTCATGAATAGTTATATTAAAAAATGCAAGAGTCAACTAAAAAGGTCATATTAATGTGTAATATGTGCTTTAAAAGTCTGTACAAAGTGTTTACCTGAAGCAGTGATGGACACTTTATAGAATTGTGCAACATTTTGTGAATACAGAAGGAGTTTTACCGTACAGCTTAACCAACTTACTTAAAAATTCTCATACTGATAATTATTTCAGTTGTGAAATATATCCATAAAGGTAATAAGAATAATGTGCAATAGCCAAAGAAATACACTACTTGTCAGTGTTCCTAAAACAACCCACCCCCGTAATTTTTTCTAAAAGTACATATAAAACTATGGTATTGCCTATCTACCTAAAAATTGCCCTCACTAAACTAAACAAAATAATTGTCAAACTGTGCAATAGTTAAATCAATTTAGTAGTACCTTACAGGTGTCTTAGTTCAGTTTGAGCAAAAGTCATTTAAAAGGCCTCAGAACAAATTGCATTCAACTTTGACTTCACAAAACTGAAATTCTTTTTTTAAAATTGATTCTTGTATTAGTTATAACCTTACCTAAATCCATTTCAATAAATCTACAGTTTACACGGTTACCCATTAGCCTGTTCAATCTCAAGTGGTGCAACAGAGTGTGAAGCTCATAACTGTGTTCCGAATAAAGTATTGCATTGTATTGTAAATCGGATATGAGGGGTTTCATTAACATTCATGAGCATAAAAAACAACTGTATATATTTTAAAATATGATTCACTTCTTAAGTAGAGCACAATGTATTATTCAACTCTTAAGCAAGTACCGGTAAAGGCAAAAAGAATCTTCCATTCAATTTGCTTATCAAAAGCAGTAACTGTAAATTGGTAAGTTATGATTTTATGAAAGATAAAGGAGATATTTTTTAACCAATTAAAAATCATGAACAAGCTTAAGATATGTTAACTCTTGCTACACACATTTATACATATACACAGTATAAGGATAAAATGTATAAAATATAGAATCCATAGACCTTACTTTCAAATAAAAATGCAAAGATATGCAGAATAATTAGTAAGCAGTTCAGAACCAGATGTTACAGTGCTTATTTCTATTTTGGCTCCTTATTACACATTATCTTGGGTTATGGTAGGCAACTGAAGATTGGAAGGTTTTGAAAATTTCATCACACTTAGGTCGAGCTGCCTAGAACATTATTTTACAAATTAATTTTTAGATTAATTCTCTTAGTGGTCCCCAAGGATTTATATCATTATTTCACTGTGATTGTGGCCAGGACTTTGTGTCAGAAATGATGGCAAAGCAGTCAGTATTTGCCATCAATACTCCTCTGAAATTGACAGCATTCAAACATGCTCAATTAAGCAGGAAAAATCCAGAAGTTACTGTCCAATTCTACCCTCCTCCATTGGGTGCATTGTCAAAGTCTTGGCAGGCTGCAATCAATTAGAAATCATTGCACTGAAAAGAACTTCTCTTTTATTCTGAAATACCACTGTTTAATAAAATGTTATACCTTGATGAGGTGTAACTAGATTCTTAAACACATAATAAGTCATAACAATGGCTGATTTTGATTTAAAAATCTAAGTTTGTGATACATTTTTAAAAACATGTTTGTGATACTTTAGCTTCTAATGCATACATCCCAATCATTTTTTTCACTCTTTGTAAAACATATTTAAAACAAAGAGCAATTAGTATATTTTACTTCCTGGTTTGCTTTCTGTGAGAATAATTGAATATGATGAGCTTACCCTACTTGATGACATCATTGTTGTTGGTGCTTGGAGATCCTCATGACTTGGCACCAGCTTCAAACTAATGTCAAGAAAGGAGGAAATCCATATCACAAATCTTTGAGGGCAACAATTCTTCAAGGTCAGAGGCAAGTGCTGTCATATTACCACTGACTGCAGAATCTTGGTCTTTATTTAGTGCTCTTCACCGTTGTTGTCCAAATACAAATGGAACCTAAGCAACATTTTCTTCATCTTCATTGTCAACACTTCAGGTATCCAATTCCTTTTTCTTTCCATCATCTCCTGCGTCACTGCTTTCTGTCTGCGTACTATTTTCCAATGGCACAAATTGACTCTCACCACTTATCTGGTTTGGTCGAATAGAAGCAGCTATTAGGCGACTTTGTTCCTCCAAATCCTGAAAGCAATGTTATTTTAACATGATCAGTTTTTTACATATTCATATATTACTTTATTATGGTATTTTGGTGCAAATATGGAAACTCACAATTAACAACTAACTAGATCAGATTTAGTCAAGGAAACGTCTAAATATCATCAAATGTTGTTGCTAACATTATGATGTCATGCCTATGAATACAGGTTAAATGAAGTGATGATAAGCTGCCATATCTTTAAGTTTGTTGTGCTCTGAAAGTGAAAAATATAAAAACTGAACTAGTGAAAAACCATTTTGTTCTGAAACAGAAACAGAAATTGCTGGAACTGCTCAGCAGGTCTAGCAGCATCTGTGAAGAGGAATCAGAGTTAATGTTTTAAGTTGACTGACTCTTCCTCATTTTGTTCTGAAGCAAGTTTGTTCAACCTTTTATCAAAGAAGAGCCCAAAGATATATTAACAAGCAAACTGAAAATAAGCCAAAGGACTAGGGAGAAAAATTTGACTACATGTAGAGTTTGTTTCCTTTTACCTTTTCAATTTGTTTTTGTTTATTAAGTTCCATGAGTTGCTTTTCCTTTTCTCGGTCAAATTCTCTCTGTTTGTCTGTGGTTTGCCGATCCTAATGCAACAGATAACAAAGAATTTATTATACTTTAGACAAGTTAGCAAATCCAAGTGAACTAAAACTGGCAGTTCAAACCTTTTTAGCCTAGATATTTGATGATGCTGTGTCTTTGCTCAAGCACTTGCATCATCTCCAATGGTGGGGTGAGGGTTGGGGTGGGGCAGCGAGAAGCATACACTTACTACAATCTAGAAGTATGATTCCTATCGCCAAAAAAATGCGACATTGCCTGAATTAGGTGTTAGGCCCTATACGTACGCAAATATCTGCTCCATCTCCAATTTTATTTTTTTGCCAATGTAACACTGAATTTCCCCCTTCACCTATTCCCACTGATCCATCCATCTGAATTTTGGTAAGAAAGATATTTACAACTCCCTTGGAGTTTGCTGTTGTCTTCTTACTCATGGCTAGAGTCATGGATTCACCTTCCTGCATCTATGTTACGCCTTAAGCATGTTTTAACTTCAAAAAGCACAGCTACATATACAAAAGTATTGCTTTGGCCATTGTACCCTGCCGTCCCAGCCTCCACATGGGTTTTCCAGTTCTCCCAACTATATCACACTATTTGCTGCGAGATGACTCGGCAGCAAAAATTAAATGAATTGATGCTGTAGTTCTGGCAGTCACATTCAGACTATCAGGCAAATGCAATTCCTGCCCTGTTGCACTTCCTTGGCTCAGTCACTGGAATCCGTTTTAGAACCATAGATTTTACTGTTCATGTACTAGCTTCAAGCAATACCTTGTACATACTGTACACTTGCTACAGAGCTGTAAGGGAGGGATAGCGCCTCGCATAGATGGGCTGGCCACACACTTTGGAATAGTTCATTTGTATTGATTCTCACTAACCAGCTCTCATCTGCGGCACTAAGCAACTGTACATGATAGTGGCCACAACCCAGCAAACTGCTTCAAGGCATAGATCAAACCAGATAGACACTGGATTATCTATCCTCGGTGACTTAGGAATTTGTCTACACCTTGTATGCAAAAAATTGTTCTGGCTGACTGGACTGATGACTGTAATTGGAGATCCATTGGTTTTGAAGGTGGGTCAGCACTGTGTTGTGAGATACATACAGCTCAACAACACACAGAGGACATCTTGGTCATCCACTACACAAGAATCTATCTCTAGCCATCTAGGCATATCCTACCACTCTTAATGTAATGTAACATCGCCAGAGCACTTTGCAGAAACATTATAAACAGAAGCATGAGCCTGATTCACAAAAGGACATATTAGATCAGATGACCAGGGATAGGTTTTCAGCAACATCTGAAAGGAGGAAAGAGGGATTGAAGGGCAGAATATTACTGTACATGCACTTTTAAAACGAGACTTGTAATTAATGGAAATTTATTTGACTTGCCATTTCTGAATGAAAAGCAATCTGTTTGCCCAGTCCAACAGAATCACAGATCTAGAAAGACAATGTCATAAGATTCACAATTATAATGATACAATATTCACAACTACTTAATAATATAAATTCTTGTATGTAAATCAAAACTAAAATCAATTCTATCATTTTAACAATGGTGGTGTTTCTAATGTTTAAAGTAGATAGAACCCCATGGATAAAATTCAACTCAAGGGTTGATAGAAGATTTTAAAATATCTGGTTCAACCAGGGAAAGGTGGGTAGAATTAATGGTGAGGTTAGGGAAATTGTGCTGATTACCAACTGCAATGGCTTTGCTGCTCCCAATGCTTAGCTTAAAGAAATGCTGACTCAGACTGACTACTAGGGAAGTCACTTGACAACAGAGGAGTGGGAGAAGGGGCCTTGCCATTACAGAGACAAGGTTGCAGGCTGATCAAGACTGTGAATCTGAATAACAGAGACTATTTGACATTTAGGAATATTAGGGAAGAAGGAAAAGGAGGAGAGATTAGTGCTGACATAATAAGGGATAGGATTGGTTTATTAGAGAGACAGAATCTCTGATCAGAAGAATAGGATGTGGTATCTGTTTTGGTAGAGCTAAGAAACAGTAAATGTTAGCTAACATTGGTAAGAGCAGTTTATAGACCTCCAAATAGTAGTAATAATGTAGGGCACAGTATGAATCAGCAAATTTGAGATGTATGTAGTAACAAGGATGCAGTAATCATGGGTGACTTCAATCTACATACAGTCTGGGTAAATCTAATGAGCGTCAATGCTGTGGAGGAAAAATTCTTGGAATGTGTTCAAGATACTTTTCTGAGCCATATATTGAGAAACCAACTAGTGCACAGGCTATTTGTTTAAGATCTGGAATTATGCGAAGAGAAAATGCCAATTAATAATCTTGTTGTGAAAGAACTTTTAGGGAATTGTGATCATAGTGTGATAGAACTTTCCATTAACTTTTAAGACGACGTAGTTCAATCTGAGACTAGTATCTTAAATCTAAACAATGCCAATTATAAAAGTATGAGGAGGAAACTGGATGTAGTGGATTAAGATTTATCAGTGGATAGGCAGTGGCTAGTATCTTTAAAAATGAATGTTTATATTTTCTTACACCGTACATCCCTTTAAGGTAAAAATATCCAACAGGCAATTGAGAAAACCGTGGCTAACAAGGGAAGGTAAATACAGTATTGTATCAAAACAGGAGTCTAAGTATTAGTACTAAGTATTTTGTTTCTGTCTTCAGGGGAAGTCCTAAAATAGGTAAGTTCTAAGGGTCAAGTGAGACAGTCTAAGTGGAAGAAATTAGTACTGGAAAAGAAAAACTGAATTAAAAAATTAATGAGACTGAAAGTTGGTACGTCTCCACAACCTAGAATGTGTTGGTAGATGATGGTGGGTTTAGTGGATGCACCGGTGATCATCTCTTAATTCAGCAACAATGCCTGCAAATTGGTATGTTGCAAATTTAACCCTAGTTTTTAAGGCAGAAGTGTGAAGGACAAAACAAAATTATGGACAGCAACCTCATAAAACACGAGCCAGAGAGAGATCAGCAATAGCAGCTTCATAAACAACGTGAGAGAGTGAAAGAACAGCTGTTTCACAAAGAACAGGACAGACAGAGAGAGAGAGTCAACAGTTTCTCAAACCATGTGAAACAGCTTGGAAATAGAGCTTTGTAAAGATGTAAGTGGACTTGTGAGAGAAGCACAGCAGGGCAGGAGATAAAAATCAGTGGCACAGAGCCCCAACACCCTGTTTCTACCTGTCTGAGCCAAAATGTAATGTCACAAGAAAACAGGGAGAAGATCGGTGAGTATTTCTTCACTGTCTGTTTAGATTGGCCAATTGGATTAAATCTGGAAGCAAATACTGAACCTGAACAGTACAGCCAAGAAATCCACTTTTAAAATATTTGACATCGAACTCAACTAAGTGAAAAGAATACAGATGGCTCGGCAGGCGATGTGTTGCAGCTGTAGGGCATTGGTATGATGAATGATGACCACATCTACAGCTAGCATTGCTGCTAGAACAACTTCAACTCAGAATTGACAAGCTGGAGTCTGAGCTTCTCACCGTGCAATAAATCAGGGAAAGGGACAAGTACTTGGATTGCGCTTCAGGAGGCAGTCACACTCCTTAGACTAATTACACTAAATTTGGTCCATGGCCAGGAACAAAGGGTGCGAGCTGTGAATGAGGCAGATATGGGATCCAGAATATGACACTGGAAGCGCCTCAGCCGATGTCTTTGCCCAATAGGTCCGAGGTTCTCGTGGCGTAGGCAAAAATACAGACTGCAGGAAGGATGAGAAAATTGACCAAAGCACCAAAGTACAGAGCATGATTCCATTTTGGGAGGATTAAAAAAAAAAGAAACGTAGTTGTAATAGGGGATAGCATTGTTCAAAATAGATACTGTTCTCTGCAGCAAAGATAGAGAATGCTGTGTTGCCTATCTGATGCTAATGCTAAGGATAACTCTTCTGGACTGGAGAGGAACTTGTGGGAGGGGAAGAATCTAATGTCCTGGCCCACATACACAACAATAACAAAGTAGGACTAAGAAAGAGGTACTGCTGAATAATTACAAGCTACTCCAATTAAATTAAAAAGCAGAACTACAAAAGGTAATAATCTCCAGATTACTACGCAAGCTATGTGCAAATTGGCATTAAGTAAATAAAGTTAGAGAAGTAAATATGTTGCTCAAAGAACAGTGTGGAAAAAATGGGTTACAATTTATAGGGTATTAGCACCAGTACCATGGAAGGAGAGAGCAGTTCTGTTGGGACAGGTTTCACTTGGACCATGCTGGGACAAGTGTTCTGGTGAATCATATAACTACACTTATAGATAGATCCCTAGAGGTAACAGAGAGCAGGACAGCTGCTTGGAGGACTAGGCTCCTCCTAAGCCGAACAAGCTAGAGAGAGGTTGAAATCATCGAATCATTCAGCATAGAAGAGGCCAATGAGCCCATCACATTTGTATCACCAAAAATACACTACGACATACACTAGACCCACTTTCCAGCACTAGGCCCATAGCCTTGAATGTTATGACACTTCAAGAGCTCATCCAAGTACTTTTTAAAAGGTTGTGAGGTTTCCTGCCTTGATGCATTCCAGAAACTCCACATTCTCTGGGTGAAAAAAGCTTTCCTCAAATCTCTTTCTAAATCTTCTCCATTACACTTTAAAATTATGCCACCTTGATATTGACCGTTCGATTAAGGGAAACAGCTGCTTTCTTTTCATCCTGACTACGGCCCTCCTACTTTAAACACCTTTATTAGGATCCTCCCTCAACTTTCACTGTTCCAAAGAAAACAACCCGAGCTTATCCAACCTCTCTTCATTGCTGTAATGCTCCAGCCCTGACAACGTCCTGGTGAATTGCCTCGGCACCCCGTCCAGTATAATCACATTCTTCCTATAGTGTGGTGACCAGAACTGCACATAGTACTCCATCTATGGCCTAACTAAAGTTCTGCACAGCTCCAATATGACCTCCCTGTTCTCATAATTTAGGCCATGACTGATAAAGGTAAGCGCCTATATGCCTTGTTAACTACCCTATTAAGTCCTGCCACCTTCAGGGATCTGAGGATCCACTGAGCTTCCTAGTGTCCTACCATTCATTGAGCACTCCCTTGTCTTGTTCCAATGTCCATCACCTCACATTTATCAGGGCTAAATTCCACCTGCCACTGATCTGCCCACCTGACCAGTCCTTTATATCCTCCTATAACCCAACATCTTCCTCCTCACTGTTAAACACCTGACAAATCTTTGTGCCATTCCCAAACTTACTTATCAAACCCATTACCTCCATATTCTCATCCACATCATTTATGAATATTACAAACAATAAGGGATCCAGAACTAATCCTTGTGGTATGCAGCTGCACACCATGCTCCTGTCACACCAACAGCCTTCAACCACTACCCTCTGTCTCCTGCCACCAAGCCAATTTTGTATCCAATATGCCAAGTTATCCTGGATCATATGAGCTTGCCTTCTTTATCAGTTGCCCATGTGGTACCTTGTAAGCATTGCTGAAATCCATATAAACCATATCAACTTCCCTATCTTCATCCAAACACTTATCACCTCCTCGAAAAATACCATTACATTTGATAGGCACCCTCTTTTTCACACCCTTGAAAGGCAGCATTCTCCATTTTCTAGATGTGGAGGTGCTGGTATTGGACTGGGATGGACAAGGTCAGAAATCACACGACACCAGGTTTATAGTCCCACATAAACACACACACACACACACGTGAATCTATGGGATGAATGTGTATTTGCAGATATAGTCTATTCTGTTCAAAAAGCACACAATTTATAGACAGTCAGTCAGTCAATGTGGCGTTTTATAAATTCCTACTTTAGAAATAAAACCAGTCTGACTCCAAACCAAAACGCAAACAGATTCTAAATTGGGCCTCACACCTAACATGCATTGTCTGACCTAAAATGTCACCTCTTCTTTATACTGGTAAAACCTTTAGTTCTCTCAGGACCGTGACTTGAAAGGAATTCGGGGATTTACAAAAACATATCAATCAATTTCAACCTTCTAACTGATCAAAGATTTAACAGCATCTTAGGTTTGTTTAATACATCCCCATCAGTGGTGTGACCCTTTGATCTTTTACTTATAAATTCTGTGTCTGATACTACCTCTCTCACTAACACCAGGAGGAGGAGTGAGGCTCTGAAAGCTTGTGTTTTCAAATAAACCTGTTGGACTATAACCTGGCGTCATGTGATTTCCGTCCTTTTTCTAGGGTAGGAGCGTTTGCTATTATGGAAAATCATAACCCGATGACTATTTTACACACAATGCCATCTAAATCTCATTTGACCATGACATCAGCATCCTAAAACCTACAGAGACAATCCCAGCACAAGGAACGAGGGTATCAAAGCTGACGAAGAGGAGATTGGACAAATCAACAGATAAAGAGGTATTATGGTGAGCGGAGAGCCCAACAGTTAGGAATTAGAGAGTGCTCAGTTTAGATGATTTAGAAGCAGCTGTAGAAGAAAATAAGTAGTAAGTGGGGTACTGAAGGATACAAGTAAATATTCATGGTGAGCTTGATACCAATTGTGCCTTGAGGAGATGGCAGTCAATAACATGATCATAAATATAGGCGGTGCAGGTTTTACTGAGGAAGTGTTATAGAGAGGACAAAGAGCCAATTAATTCAGAGTGGGACAAGGGAAACTGAGAATGTGGTTGAAGGCTCAAGGATGAAGTACACAGGACAAGGGATAAAGGACAATATATCTCAGAGTTTGATGGTAGGGCATAAAACATTTAGTGCTCAAAGAAGCAGGTGCCAAAGCACTAAGGATACAAGCAAAGGTATTACATACTAATAAGCACCATGTTATCACCATGGCTAGGAAATGGTAGGTGGTGGAAAATACAGCCGGTCATGAAGGCTTCAGTTTGGGGAAATGCGTCATCAGTCAGCAAAACTTCAGTCAAAGCTGAGATCTAATTATAATCATCCACAAGGTTATGGGTAAGGGTCTAGTTCATGGGTGACTGATTCAAGAGAAATGTAATGGGTCAGAGATTGTTGATTAATTGGGAGAGACTCAGATGCTGATAATAGTGGGAATGGTATCAATTACACAGGAAGAAGTCTAGAGAGATTAGATCCCTGTTACGCAGGTTCACCAGAAAGCTCAGTGAAGAGGAAGGTAAGGCAGGTGAATACCATGACAGGAACAAACATGGTTGTTAACTCACTCAGTGTAATTCAATTCTATTACAGTGGTAGGGCACAATGACAGTTGAAAGATAGTGATGGGTTGAGGGTAGAGGTGAGGGAGGGAGGGAGGGAGGGAGGGACTGCAGGAGGACAAATGATTAAAGCAGAAAGATACTGAAAGCAGAGATTGGCCAGAGGAAAGGAGGATTTGGGCTACTGAAACATACACTTATATGGACACAAAACAATTTTCAGATTAGACATGGTAGAGATGAGATGAAACAGGATTGGAAGGAAACAGTATATTCTATGGTCTGATAACACACAAATCCGATAACCCAAACTCAATGATCTGAAGGAGTTCCACTGAACTTTGATTTTACTGTTTAATTAAATGATACTGATTTGGTTTAAAGTAGAATAAGAAACACTGTCAGAACTCCCCTGTACCTTCTCTCCCTCATTGTTTGATTCAAACACATAGCAGACTGAGATCGGTCGCCCTTCTGCTCTGCTTCCTCCGGTATGCAGCACAAATCCAAAAAGACGTTTGTTCTCTTTGTGAGTTGCGCAAAGAACCACATTTTGCAAAGGAAACTGCAACAAAAAGTATGATAATGATATCAGACTCGACGAAGGCTCTGTAACATAGAGTCATGGGACTTAATTAGTACAAGTAGTAGTAAAAACTTGTTTTTAAGTGAAAGAGACATGTGGAAGGTTGAAAATAGCAATAGATTCATAATATTTTTCCAAAAGTATTACAGTTTATAATTTTAATACCAACCCTTAAGCGAATGACTTGAGTCTGAGGATCAATCAACCTAAAATGTAAAGCAAATTATAATCAACTACATACATTTATATAATTGATCATGTACAGAAAACAATTCTATAAAACAGCAAAAACTAACTTACTTCAAACAGTCACTGGTTACTAGTAAATGTGACTCGGTCATCCGAAAAATATTGTGTATAGCACGGGCAGCAAGGATTTGACGCATTGTATCACAAATAACATCTGAGGTTTCATTTGCTTTTACTTCCATTGATCCAAGGAATCTCACAATAAACAACTGATGAAGTATAGATTCTGCAGCAGATATTAGAATAAAAACATCAATCTGTTTTAATTTATATAGTTCACTTTACACATACAAGGAGTCATAAAGGGTGAAACAAAAGGAAATTGAATCAGTGACCTGTATCAAGTTTAGTCAGGTCAGTAGTTTATCTAAAGTTAAATACATCACGTAGCTTGAATTACACTACCTGTGTAGTGTATCTCTGAGAAACATCAATCAGTTGTACCAGTGTTGTTTTAATTTGCTCCATGCTTTGATTATTAACACAAAACTATACAATATGCTAACTTTGAAAGTTAATAGCTAAAAGTAACAAAAAAGTTTGCAATAAATAGGAATGTGTCTGAACCTTCCTAAAACTTATTAAACAAATATATTCTAAACATAAACAGTGCAATTGTGGCAATACTAAAGGTTGAGATGAGTAAAAATGATTCTTAGTCCTCAGTATTCTGCAATGTGTAATGGGGGACCTGATGACCACTATCTTAGATCTTGAAAACAGCAATAAAAACTATGGTCTGAATTTAGCACTCTTTATACTAAATGTGGGGCAAGGATCTTCATAGATGAGAAAGCTTGCCAAAGCAAGCAATTAAGTGCTGTCTAGCATATTTCCCAGCTGTCAAGGGAATCACCACTTAAGTCTTGGCCTTCCTGCCAGCCAAATCAGTGGACAGAGCCAATGAGGGGCACAGTGTAGCTGCAGGACAAGACTGCAGAGTCATGAGGAGCTTCACCAGTAAGCATGTAGAAGGTGAGGGATAGGGATGGGGGTTTCAGCCATCTCTGCTGTTCCACTTCCTTGCCCCAATGGAGGAAACTACAGCCCATTCCCCAAATCTAGCAAGCAGGTCACCTGGCTTTTCTATTGGGAAACCAACCACTTTTAAAGCCAGCTGGGAATTCAGATAAATCCGATCCGTGGCAAGTTGAGGCCCTGAGTTGGAGCCAGGTCAGAGCCATGGACCTTCCCATGCAGAGCTTGATTTTTTTTATTCATTCACAGGATGAGGACGTCGCTGACCAGGCAGCATTTATTGCCCAGAGGGCAGTTAAGAGTCAACCACATTGCTGTGGGTCTGAAGTCACATGTAGGCCAGACCAGGTAAGGACGGGTTTTTCCCGACAATCGGAAATGGATTCATGGTCATCATTAGACTCTTAATTCCAGGTATTTATTGAATTCAAATTCCACCATCTGTTGTGGCAGGATTCGAACCCACATCCCCAGGATATTACCTGGGTCTCTGGATTAACAGTCCTGTGATAATACCACTAGGCCATTGCTGTGGTGATGGTGGTCTGTGAGGATTATCATTTGCCAGTGCCAACCTGTCCGATTATTTGCCCTTCCTGTCCCCTGACCCACTTGCTCTACAGACAAGGAAACTCCACCCTATTTTATTGATCCAATAAACAGCATTAGATTTTTCAGAACCAGTAAGTGCATAAGTTCTACATGGCAAATGATGGCCATTTTTCTATCTTTGTGGAATGACCGTGACAGATGACCACACTAACATGACACAATCATTTAAAGCTCCACACTGACATATTTAAGAAAGAAAAAAAAACAGTTCTATTTTTTGCCCAGCAACATTGCACCCTACCTTCAGGTTCCTCTGTTTTTGGTTCCCCAGATTCTCCAAATGGATTTGTTCTAATGGAAGAATTACAAAGGAAAAACATTTGATTACTTTTAAAAGAGACAATTCTTCATTTTTGGTCAAGTTTACTTCCCTTGTTTTGTTGAAGATATGTTTCTGTGGTACCAGTATGGAACATTTCCCCCATTTTTATTCATGAGTCTAGCTCTAAGTAGTTGTGGGCTATTTAATGGCATCACAGCAAATCACTTTATCCATTACGCAAAGTTCACATTTCCACTTCATTTCAGTTGTCAAGATAGTAATCAGAAACAAAAGTCCTCTCTGATGATCCCCCAAATCCCCCTTTCCCTAACCAGGGACACACTGGTCAGTCACAGTGCTCCTTGCATTGCCTCTATTAATATTGCCTAACTCAGCTCAGACTGAGGATCAAACCTTGGGATCGTTGCTATCTATCTGGCTGAGTTACTTACAGCAAGAAAGAGCTGACTGTAACAGAATCATTTCAAATCTAACAACTAAATGGGGCAAGGCTTTGGAATTCTGAGGGACTTCAGAGTTCTAGTTCAGGATTCTGTTAAGGTTAGGGGTTGGTTGGCAATTAGGAAGGTAAATGCAATGTTAACATTCATCAAGAAGGCTAGAATACAGCAGCAGGGATGTACTGCTGAGCATATAGAAGGGTGTGGTCAGAAAGCATTTAGCATATTGTGAGCAATTTTAGGCCCCGTATCTAAGGATGGGTGTGCTGGCCTTGGAAAGGGTCCCCTGGGGGGTCTGTATTTGATGGAGTTTAGAACGATTTGGGTGAGGGGTGGGGGGAGAGATCTCCTTGAAACTTACAGAATACTGACAGTCCTGGATAAAGTGGACATGAAGAACATGTTTCCACTAGTAGGAGAGACTAGGACCCAAGGGCAGAGCCTCACAATGAAGGGATGACCACCTTTGGAATTAGGATGAGGAGGAATTTTTTGAGGTGGAATTTGTTGCCACAGAAGCTTAAGTCAATGAGTATATTTAAGACATAGATACGTTATTGATTAGTACGGAGATTAAGGGTTATGGGAAGAAGGCAGGATACTGGGGCTGAGAAACATATATCAGTCTTGATCGAATGGTGTAGCTCTCGACAGGCCAAATGGCCTATTCTGCTCCTGGTATCTTATGGTCTTATGGAATGAAATTCTCAATAAAGGTAAAATTTCCATAGTCCCAGAGGGCCATAAAACTGCTCTCTAATTAGAGAGAGAGAAGACAGAAAGAGACAGAGAGAGAGAGAGAGAGAGAGAGAGAGAGAGAGAGAGAGAGAGAGAGCGACAGAGAGAGACGACTAGTAGCATATTTAAGCTGAGGGTCATCACACCTCAGGCAAGGAGCGAGGTTGAGAAGACAGTACCTTCAATGGTAACCCCAGCTGGTATGGAAATTGAACCTGTGCTGTTGGCATCTCTTTGCATCGTAAACCAGTTGTCAAACCAAATGAGCTACTGACCCGATTTTCTCAGCATAGAAAGCATGACAACTCCATTGCAAAAGCCTTTCCTGTGTCATATGTCAACGTATAGTTATTTCATTACATTCTTAATCCAATCCTAGCTGAAACTTTCTGAACAAAATTTTTTTCCTAAACTAAATAAATAGGACAAATATTCAAACTAACGGCAAAACCTTCAACTTAATTAGCACACTTAACCTCTTACTACTGAAATGCAAAAGTTCACTAAAGCTTTAAAAAAAAAAAAAAAACACCTTCCCAGTTGCATTTACCTGGTGCCTGGTCCTGAAATCTTTGCTTGGTTAGACAAGTCCTCACTGACAGAAGAAATTATGTCAAACTGAATGGGTGTGTCTGGAGCAACTATTGAGTCTAATGACACTGCAGAAAGAGAAGCAGATTCTGATCCAACGGAGCTGGAACTGTTTGCTCGAGAGGGATGAGGTCTGCCGTGGCTGTCAGACGAACGTTAAGATAAAAAATGAATTTTTTCCCAGAGTAGCGGTTACATTTTCAATTTTTTTTAAAGTAGTATGCCAAAATCAATACAGTAGATGAAATCTGGAGATGACATTACACAGTGAAGATTCATATTCACATTCACATGCTTACAGTCTGTTACCTCATCTCAGGTGAAGCTTTGTGGCGAGACTGAAAATGAGGCTCTGTGCATCTTCCAGTAACTTAGAATCTTAGAATTTTTTTTTTGTAACACGGACGACAACTGTTGGATTCATATCCCTTGTGCTAGATTTGCTCTAGTCCACTGTTACTTCACCCTGGCCTTTTCATGTACTTAGCCACTTCCCTTTTTGAAAACTATCATAAATTTTACTTCCACTACTGCTCTGGAATAGCATGTCATGTCCTGGAAAAGTACTACATTTCTCTTCAATAATTTGTCTTGTTGGAGTTTCGTGTTCCGAGAGATTTGAAAAATATTACTTTTAGTGGTTAAAGCTGCCTATAAAAGGTCTAGTAACGGATTTTTCCTTTCCTGAGGTTAATTTGAAACTGGTGCAAAATCAAAGGGATCTCCAGATATTCAGCAGGTATGCAACTTGAAGTATTTATACAGACAGCAAATCATAGTAAACAGTGCAAAATATCCTTTACTTTTTGTTAATTTTGCAGAAGGCCAAGTGATTGATAGAGATTGGAAGCTGAAATACAATAAACTTAAAAAATACCAAACATATTGGAATTTCTTAAACAGAATGGAAACATCCGACGTACAAATAAAAATTTGGATTTGCAAGGTCAAAGAGTTTTTGATTTAGTATAATGTATCTTATTAACAATGTTCTATTTGCAGAGATTTTTAGAACAATATTACATAGCAAAAGGGATTAAATTATTTGCCTTCTGCAAAGATTTCAACACTGCACAGTGGAGATAAATGTAGAATTCATGATAGTAACTTCTAGATTTCCATGTTTAATTATGTAAATTTGGTTGCCAGAAATTACTATCAATTTCAGAGTAGTCACTATAGCAAATGCTGACAGTCTCTCCACAAAATCCAGGTCAAAATGTTAATTTATACCATTTACAGCACAACTTTGAAGTTTCAGAAAAAGATCAGTTAGATATCTGATTATTTCTTCCTAACAGAATGAGGCAATAAAGCTCAAGAGCTCAGGTGAAAGGCCATCAATGTGAAACATTAACACAATTTCTCTCCACAGATGCTATCTGATCTACCAGGTATTTCAAACATTTTGTTTTCACTTAACGTTAGATATACAATAAAGTTTACTCTTCAGAATCCAAGTGCAGAATGTAATTTCTGCTTACACTGTAGACCTTGAGATTTCATGTCTCTGTTGAAACGAAGGGGAAGGTGTAACAGCCTCCAGAGCAGACTGGTTTACACGAGCAGCCAATTCCTGTGATGAGAACAAAGTGACTTATTGAATGCTAAAATTAATTATTTTAAGTACACAACAGGCCTTGGCACATTTGGCGTTAACAATAAATCAGGGTATAATTTTTGATTAATATTCAGTGCCATCTGCTGGAAGACCCTGAAATGGACCTCTGACAAGCAATATTTCTCTAATTTATTTTCTACAACTTCCCTATGTAATCCCTTTAAGATTACTGTTAAAAGAAATGTTAATTGTGTGTGGACTGTTTGATTCATTGTGTAGTATGTTGTGGAACTGCTGGTTAGTTGTCACACAAAGATGGAAAACTGTTGGTGAGATGGTTATGCTGCCTCTCAGATGAAGAACGGTCCTGGGGGAGTAACAGGAAGGTGCAGGGAAAAACAGGAGAATAAACTGGTAACTTTTTTTAGGCTGAATAACAGACAGAAAGAAAATGGAATGGAATCATAGAAACTTGTAGAAGGAGGCAAATTGGTTCCTTGCATGGATGCTGGCTCATTGAGACGCACTCAAATGTAATATCATTTGCCTCTGAGACAGAAACTATGAGATTACAATGCTACAATTCACCATCATATAGTTTTAAGCACATATTCTTTCTTTAAAATAGCGCATACCCACACATTTCCAAGGATTGAAAGGTATTCAAATCCTTTTAATTGCACATAGCAACACATTTATTAAAAAATAAAGAAGTTTCTGAATGAAGAACCATCTCTCAATAAATTCAAGTACTGGAGGTTAGGAAATGGCTGTATCTGAATTACAGATTTGAATAAATAAAAAGTGATATCACATAAATAAATGAAAAAGAGAAGCCAGACTATGAAATGTAGCAGCTTAAAACATGCTGTGAATGCAGGACCCTCTAAAACTTGTTGATTCTTTCATTTAACTGATGCAGATAGAAAATTATCAATTGCAGTAACATGCAATCTTACTTCTGGATTTTCGCTGAGATAGATACGTTTGGAAATATTATTGATTGTTGCAATCCACTACAAGGAAACAGGAACATTAAGATAAGCAAACATAATAGGCACGATCCAAAAATTAAAGTACAATATATTCTCTTCTCATCACAAAACATGAATATTTTCTTATTAATAAAGACCACTTTTCAAAAAGAACATATATAGACAAGATTCATTAACAATTAAAATAAGTACATAGATGGCTGGCTACTGGCTACTAATGTTAACATGGAGTCAACATATGACCTGATACTGAGAAGACAACTCAGGACTTTTACTAAAAATCAATAGTTTGGTCATAAATGGTATATATGGAACTGAACTGCAGTGATACAAGTTCAGAATTTTAGATATTAAATCCTCAGCTGTGCTAACTCAAAAGTGAAGCAATTTAGATACTGATGCTTTTACACGGGGAACTGATCTCTAATGGGGATTTATTGTAAACTAGATGGGGATGTTTTAAGCACATCAATATAATAGTATTCACTGCATATTGTATTATTCAGGTAGCTAGGTAAGTTTCTCGTAAATTCACAATGTCGAGACAAAAATTGTGCAAAGCCTCAGGTCATGCAGTTTAATAGCAATTTGCAAATCAACTTGTCCAACCAAAAATTATGTGAGATTATCAAGGTTCAACAAAGAAGTGTATAGCATCTTTGAGTTTTCCATGTTTGCAAGAAAGAGATTTTTGTAAGCACTGGAATATGGTTTCTAATACAGCAATATAGGTTTCGTGTATGATTGACATTCTACATAGTGTGTCACAAAGTATTCTAACATGGAATGAGTCTAATAATATGATAGAACTATTCTTCAACCTTTTGTTGATTTCTAACATTCTTACTTCATCCATACACTGCTTTATAAGGCATGCAATATTTTTACTATTGTTAGCATAATGTTTATCAATAAGTGATCAGCATCCACAATTAAAAATGACATTTTTTTGTAAGTACAAGAATTTCACATTATATACATGCATATGTAATGCAAGATTGGATTTAAAGTGGAAGACTACCTTCAAAGCTTACCTCTTCACACTCTTTTTTACTCTCTGCTTGTAAAAGAACTGTTCTGGAATATTAAAAAGCAAGAGCCATTATTTTTTTTAACACTAAATGATTATACATTAAAAAGTGAGAGAATGTGTTACACGATTCTGTAAAGCCGTGCAGTACTTTATTAAAAGGCTGAATTATCACAACCATTTGCATTTGAAACTTCACTAGTTGGCTTTAAAAAGAAATTTTTTCTTACAAGATGTAAATGACTGGTTCTAAAAATAGTGCCTCTGCAAAACTGTTGTCATCTTTTCAGCATTAATGTTCCTCTGATGGTTTTGTGACAGTAGTAGCTGTAGTCCAAAAGCTATGCAGAGTACAAGATAGCGTCATAAAGGTCTAGAGCACTGAGAAAGTCCCTTGGAGTCTGCTCCAGTCAGAAACAACCATCTAATTATTCTAAACCTATTTTCCAGCACTTGGCCCATATCCTTGCATGCCTTGGCATTATAAGTGTACATCTAAATACCTCTTAAATGGAAGTTTCTGCTTCTATCACTCTTACAAACAGCGAGATTCTCACTACCCTCTGAATAAAACAGAATATTTCTCACATCCCCTCTAAGCTTCCTGCCCCTTACCTTAAATCTATGCCCCCGGTCAATGATCCAGCAAGGGTAAAAGATTTTTCCTGTCTACGCCCCTCAATTTTATACATCTCAATCATGTTCCCCCTCAGTCTTCACCGCTCAAGGATAACAATCCCAGTCTAACTCTCCAACCCAGGCAATATCCTGGCAAATCTCTTCTGCACCCTCTTCAGTGTAATCACATCCCTCCCATATGTGAATTCCAGAACTGCACATAACACTCTAGTTGTGGCCTAATCAACTTTTTATACAGTTGTACCATAACCTCCCAGCTCAAACTCTACAGAATCATAGAATCCCTAGAGCACGGAAACAGACCCATCAAGTCTGCACTGATGCACTGAACCTCCAAACAGCATCCCACTCTGACAGCACACCACCAACCCCCACCCTGCCCCTCCAACACCACATTTACCATGGCTAATCTGCCTAGCCTGAACATCTCTGGACACTATGAGCATTTCAGCACAGCTAATGCACCTAACCTGCACATCTTTAGGCTGTGGGAGGAAACTGGAGGATGCGGGAGAAACCCACGCAGTCATAGGGACAGTTTTCAAACTCAGCCAACGCTGGAATCAAACCCAAGTCCCTGACACTATGAGGCTGCAATTCTAACCACTGAGATATCACGTTGTCTACACCTTGGCTTAGAATGGCTTTTATGCCTTCTTAATCACTTTTCTGATCTGTCCTGATACCTTAAGGGACCAGTGGTTAGGCTCATAAAGATCCCATTGATTCTCAATGCTTTCCAGGATCCTCCTGGTCATTATATATTCCCTTGCCTTGTTTGTCCTGCCCAAATGCATTACCTCACACATATCCACGCTGAATTCCATTTCCCCTAATTAGCCCATCTGGCCAGCCTATTATCTTCTGTAATCGAATGCTATTCTCCTCACTATTTACCACCCTACCAATTTTCGCATCATCTGTGAACTTATTGATCAACCCTCCTACATTTGAATCTGAACCGTTTATATATACCATGAACGGCAAGAGGCCCAACAGTGATCCCTGCGTAACCCCTCTAGACACAGGCTTCCAGTCACAAAAACACCCTCGATCATCTCCCTCTGCTTCCTGTCGCTCAGCCAATTGTGGATCCAGTTAACCAAATTTCCTTGGATCCTGTGGGATGTTACCATCACAATCAATGTTCCATGTGGGACCTCATCAAAAGCCTTACTTGAAGTCCAAGTAGAGTACTTTGAATGCATTACCTTTAGTTACACACCTGGCCACCTCTTTGAAAAATTTAATCAAGTTGGTCAGTCATGACGTCCTCTTAACAAAACCAGGCTGACTGTTCTTAATTTATCCCTGCCTCTCCAAAGTGCAGATTAATTCTGTTGCTCAGAATTGCTTCTAATAGTTTCCCCATAATCAAGGTTAGACTGACTGGCCTTTAGTTTCTGGTTTATCCTTTGCTCTCTTCCTGAATAATGATACTACACTGGCTGTCCCCAACTCCTCTGCCACCTCTCTTGTGGCCAGAGAGAAACTGAAAATTATTGCCAGCGCCCATGTTATTTCCTCCCTTGCCTCACTCAACAGTGTTGCAAACATTTCATCTGGCCCAAGAGATTTATCTACATTTAAGCCCACCAGACCATACAGGGCCTCCCCTCTGTCTCAGCTAACTTCTTTAACTATATCACAGTCCTTCTCCATGATTTCTATAAACACATCATTCCTCACTAGTGAGCACCAAAAAATGTATTGATTTAGAACCCTACCTGCGCCCTTTAGCTCCACACACAAAATTCCAATGTGGTCCATGATGGGCCCTAGTCTTTCCCTAATTATCCTCTTATCTCATGTACTTGTACAATAACTTAGGATTTTTCTGTATTTTATTTGCCATTATTCTTTCATGTCCCCTTTTTGCTCTCCTAATTTCCTTTTTAAGTTTTCCCTTGCACACTCTTGTACTCTTCTAGGGCTTCTACTCTTTTGAGCTCTTGGTATTTGCCATTGCGTCCCTTTTTCTCCTTATCCAATCCCATCTATTCCTTGATATCCAGGGTTCACAGGATTGTTGGAGCCACCCTTTGTCTTCATTGGAAGATGCTGGCCCTGTACTATCCCCAATTCCTTCCTGAATGCAAATCCCTGCTGACAAAGATTTACCTACAAGTATATCCTTACAGTTCACCCTGTCCAAATCATACCTGATCTTATTAAAATCAGCCTATCCCCAGTTTAGAACTTTCATTTCAGGTGCATCCTTGTCCTTTTCCACAGATCCAGAGTTCAATTCCCAATATGTATTTGCTAATCAACCTTGCCTAGGGCAGCACTTTGTCACAACAATCAAACTCGGTATCCTTGAACTAGGAGAATATGATAACACCATGTTCCTAATTCTAATCAACACCCAAGACTGATTTTAATCTAACCCTTATGGTGGGAAAGGTTTTGAATTGGATTTTGAAATGGAAGCTTAAGTTACACACTGCTCAAACTCATTCTTCATTGAGTGTGTACAATGGACACCCAATCTAAATTTGCAACCTTGTGCCAGAGGCGTTGGATTAAAATTGAAATTCCAGTCACTCCTCCCAGAAAGTGTTTGTACAGACCTTGTGAGTAAATGGTTCCTCTAGAAATGCCATAGGAAGAAATTGCAGCCCACAACGCATCTGGCACCAACTTGCTCAATCCCTCCCAAGCAGTAATTTAAATATTAATTCTAGGATGTTCATACAGAAGTAGATAAAATGACTTGCCGAAAAATTAGGTTCTGGTTCAAGTCTCACTCCAGGGCTCAAGCATAAAAATGTATAAAAACCAAGTATAAAAGTATAAAAATCACAGTTAACACTCCAACACAGTTCTGAGGCAACAATGCTCATGCATCTTGTTGATGAAATATGAAACCAAGGCCCTACCTGCCTATTTGGATGTTTGTGAGAAATGCTAGAAACCAACAAATATTAAAGTAGTTGTCAGAACAATGAATAACTATATTTTAAAAAAAAAAGAGAAATAACCTTTAAACTGATGCCACTTAAGTTGCTGTGACGTGCATCTGATTCATTCGGACACTATCTGTATAAGTCTTAGGTACTCTCAGAGTACTACAAAGTATTGCTCGCCAATATCGGGGCTAGTGTTCAATCTTCGAGAATTGCTCCTCAAACTAATCCAGTGAGCTTATAGTTGTACTCACAGAATTATACTTTTTAGTCAATGTCCCAGCCTTTTCCATTATGCTCCTAGGATATCAGAAGAACAGGCCTACTAATAGAGCGGCCCTGGCAACTTTGACTCTAGATCTGATGAAACCTCAGCTTCATGTCAAATAAGATCACGATAGTTCTTCATCACCACTCTAAATTTATAAGTCAACACTCTTTCCTGTTAAACATCATTTTGGAAAAGTGCTGAAGTAGTTAGGGCACAGAATGTAAAAATACAGTATTACAATGCCAGCCACTAAGTGGATCAGAAGTATCACCACTGATCAATTTGGCCCATTCCTAAAGAACACAGTTGGAAAACTGAGCCTGCATCAACTGGTGATGAAACCAATACAAGGAAGTAGCAAAAAAAGTAGCAAACTGCAGGAATAGTTCAGCAGGTCTGGCAGCATCTGTGAAGAAAAATCACAGTTAACGTTTCGGATCCGGTGACCCTTCCTCAGAACTGATGTAGCTAGGAAAATGTCGGTTCATATGCAGAAAATAGGGAGGGGGAGGGGATAAGGAGTAAATGAAAGGTGAGAATAGCGCCCACAGAGAGACAATAGCAGCTGGATAGACAAAGGAGTTGATAACAAGAGACAACAAGGTGCAGGGCTGGATGAACACAGCAGGCCAA